GGGGTGGTGGAGGGCCTCTACAGGATCAATCTTATTTTTATTTTTTAAATTTTCTTTACAATTTTAAATTAAATGTAGTTTGCTTACAATTAGAAGAGTTGCAACTTTATTCAAATTGCAAATTGCAATATGATAAAGTAGGGCATTGATTGGTCCGCCATGTTTCAGGAATTCCCGTCCTATATTTGAATACTTATATATGTGTTACTTTTAAATTTCAACAATGTAATTAAAATTAGATATTTTAAAGGCATTAACAAATAAATTTCTTACATTTGATGCGTTCGAGAAGCCGCTATTAGCGCTACTTCTGCCATTCTATCTTCGTTGTTTATGAGACAAAGGATAGAATGACACAAATATCGCTATAGCGTTTCTCCGAACGTATCTATTCCATCGGCTTTGAATCGCATGAAAGCTCTACTTTTTTTGCATGTAACGATATAAAGCAGAGTTTTTATCGCTCGTCGCTGATCTCTTATCGTATCATAATGTGCAATAGGCATTAAAGCCGGTATTTATAATCGGTTCTTATTATAAGACCATTTTAAGTAATGTTCTAAAATGCTAATATGGCTTTTTTATTGGTTCATGACATCTTAAGATTGTACTTAAGACGATCTTAAATATAAAATCTGAATACAAGCAGAGAGAAACCTGAATATTAATTTAATAGATTTTAGTTATTTCAGCGATTTGTTTCAGGAGCACCGCAAAAAATGGATATTATAGTTTACATCTACTTCTTCAGAGGGCAGTAATGCGCGGAGGAATTTTGTTGTTATGGGAAAAAGTCCTTCCGTCCTGTCTCAGGTTTCTCTCTGATAATAATTTTATAATTTTTTTTACTGATCCAAATTAAGCAGTCTCTTAGACTTAAAAAAGGCTGATTAGGTGTATAAATAATTCATGTAAGTGTTGCAACTTATATATAATAGTTCTACATTTATTTTGTACTTACAATGTGAGATAATAAGTGTTTTACTTATTTATTAAATGCCTAGAATAAAATATAGCCAATATTGTTAAATAATATAAATAATTTATTTTAATTGTATGGTGCAAAGAAACGTTTGGAATATAAATAACGTTGTGTAGTAGCTAAAGAAAAAAATAATAATATAAATGTGCTCAAAAATGCTTTTACGTTCATAATTCTTTACTTGGAATAATTATTTACAAAATAAATTTAATAATATTCCTATTTACATGGAATTATTCTATAGTTATGTGAACAAGTTTACTTGATACGGTAGGATAATTATAATTTCATTCATTCTTATTTAATCATCGTATGTCTCCAGAACATCTGCTAAATGTTCATTATCTCTTGGTTTCTTAAATTGTTTCCTTCTATTAACGGGTTTCTTTCGTTTGATTGGTGCTGGCTTTTTTAATCCATGATCTTGCATTGATCGAATTCCTTGTTTCTCAAGATATTCATCTATTTTTTGATCATCCATAGCATCTACTGCAACAGCTCGCCATAATTTTTGGAATTCGTCGTCAATGGGGAATTGGGCTGTCTTATCATTATAAAAGATAATTTTTTTCTTATCAAGAGGTCGTGTAATATACAATATCTCGTTTTGTAAATTCTGAAATACATCATAAATATAATATTTCTCAAATTGCAATTAGCGAAGTAAATTTTTACATATTCATACTTACCTTTAAATGTTTATCACAATGCGGTAAACTCTCCTGTATATCTTCTAATAATATACCACCGAGACCTTTTAAGTCGTGTTGTTTTAGAAGTCTCAGTAAAGACTTTTTATCTTTAATTTTATACATAGGTTTAAAGACAAATCTACCATCTGTTACTTCAATCTTAGGATTTTGTATTAAAGCTTCAGTCTGTAGCCATTGTTTGACCTGAAAATATATAAAAAAAAGTAAATAGCTTGCTTCGGTAAGAAATAGAAATATTAAACAAGAATAATAAGAATAAAAGAAGACGATACCTTCGATCCAACATCTAATTGATTTGTTTCATCTAAAATTTCTTCTAATGTTAACGGATGATCATCTCCTTCTTGATGCCTTGCTTTCATGTGTTTTACTATCTTTGCTAATACGCCAAATTTATATTGCGTGCTACCAGCCATGGTTTTATAGTTGACCATATCCAATTTCGGTCCGGTAGATACCGACGACGGTTTAGGTTTCTTCTTCGGTGGTTCATCTTTCGTAGCTTCCTTGTCCTGCTTCCTTTTGTCAACTCTGTAATTGCATTATTAAAGATATATTTTGTATTTTCGTATAAATAATCTAAACATCATGATATATATTAGGTGTTTTCAATTTAATGATAATAGAAATCGATACAAATATTATTCTGTTACTTATTGAATGATAAGAAAGGTAGAATGATATTTGTGTTGACTTGTATCATCAAATAAAGAGCACTCATTATGATTATAGTAAACTACTTAGATTATTATACAAAAACTAATATTAGGTTATGTGCTCAGAGATTCGATAGACACAAAATGAAATATTTACATATAAATGCTAATTATTATTCTTTCTCAAAATTTCGCATTAAACAAAATGTATAACGTATATTGGTAAAGTAATGATAGATAAGAGTAATTACTTACATTGGTGTGGTCAAAGCACGTTTCTTGAAGAGCTCTCGCTCTTTGAGTAAAGCAGGATCCATTGTTATTATAGATTTCAATTTTAGTTATACTACAATTTTTTATTTCATAATTCGCACGTATATTATTGGATCTCGTTACTATCTTATGATAAAATTCAAAACCTAACCTCACACCAGACTTGTACCTGTTCGTACTCTCACGGCTACCACCACAATCTCAGCTTAAGCCGCTTTGGCGCTCTCGTCGCCTAATGGCTCCAATTGCTCTCAATTGCTCCGAACTAAACGCAAGTTACTGCGCATGCATGGCTGATGCATTAAAAATTGTGCATCTATATAGGTTTGTTTTTTTTTAAACTAAACTAAAATACATTTTGTGTGCACTTAAAATGAAATACGTATACGTTTAATATTTGTCGAAAAAACAAAAAGGAAATTTTAGTTCAGTCAGATGCAATAATAAAAAGTAAACCTTGTAACTCCTGTATAAAATCAATTCGTTGTGATATTATATATGTGATTTTTATTACAATCTGGCACAAATTGAACACAATTTCTAATAAATACCAACAGTAACATCATAACTATTGGTTATAGTTTCCCACTTAATATAATTGTTATATAATACGTGTGTTATATTATTACAATTATAATTTATATTATTACAATTATATATTGTAATTGTTGAGTGGAAAATGATAACTAACGTAGCTATGTTTTTGTTATAAATGATGTTTGCTAGGAAATCATCATAACATTAAAATGATTCCAAAAGCCGATATACATTTGCTAACACTGAATATGTAACGTGGACTACAGATTTTCAATATTGGCAGCGTATATCGGAACATGGCCAAAAAATAATTACTAAACATTACTTTTCAGTCAATAACGATTCATTTTATTAACATCATTTTGATATTATCATACTCGTTTTTGCTTGGGGGAAACGGATCACTGGAATTGTTGCTTCAAACGATGTCAAATAATATTTATTACTTTGCAGTTGTATAAAACAAGCACGAATGTAGATATAGTACATATAGAGAAACAAATCATATGTAGTTTAATATGCAGTTATATTTCGTTTTTGTTTGTTTGTTTGTTTGTTTGTTTATTTGTTTGTGGTCTGCGTTTTAAATGCGCTTTTATCGATAAATACGCGCTTTTATTTTAAAAATTCTATAGTATACATAACGTGAACTATATATTAAGTGCACGTTAATATCGTTATAAACGCGTTATGAATACGGGTCATATCATTAATTTAATTCTTTAACTGTGTACTGCAATTTCACATTGCTCGTCTCAGAATTAGAAACAATCGGATATGTTCAATTTTTTCATATCGACAATTGAATGGACATTTTGCCAAATTAAAAGATATTTTTTCAAACGCATATTAAAGTAACTATTTCTATTACTGTTTGTTCCTATATTAGTGTGATTTTGTATTTGAATAAACCTAGTACAAATAAAAAAGAAAAATTATTATTTTTTATTAAACTATTAATGTACACGATGAAGATAATATTCTATTTTTAACTATTAAAATATGGTAAACATTTTCCGAAAGATATGAGAAATTTATGTAAATTCAGTAATATCGCAAGATTTTAAGCTTGTCTCTATCAGTGTGCTCTGTATTGCAGTTGAGAATTATGTTATGACCCAGATAACAAAAAGTGTTTGAAATCGAGTCATAAGACGTTTTATGCGTCTAAAAGATGACTTAAAGACTTCTTATGTCACAATTTTAGACTTTGTATTGTTCGGGGAGTGTACATTGAAATTGTAGTAGAAAGTATAATTAAAATAACAATTTATGCACTCAAACAGTCAGCTTACATCTTACAAAAATATTTTTTTAATATTTATAAAAAGCATTACAAGATATTAACATCTCTTAAATTTAAAAAATATTACAAGAAAAAGAAAGTTGAAAACTGATATTGATTTCAAGGAGACAAAATTAAAAAATTATTAAATACAATATTTAATAATTAATTCCATAATCAGCAAGTTGGCTTATGGACATACATAATAGGAATAGTTATCCTACATGCGCCTTTGCCAATTAAAAGATTGATTCAATTTCATTCCCGCTGAGACATTTTGAAACTCGTTATTAATTTCAATTAATGAGAAACTAATTGAGTTAGAAACTAATTAAACGAGGATTAATTAATTAGCAATCTTCTCTTAGAAACGCTAAGCTAAATAACTGCTCGTGAAGCACTCGCGAATTTAGCGTGACGTATCGACGGCTTTCACGTTGGAAATGTCAAATAAATTCTTGTGCAATCATTGGTCAATGATTCAGAGCGTTTTACGGTCGTTTGTACGCGGGATATATATACTTTGTCTAGGATCCGTGATTCTCGGACGTGTTTCTGCATCTCCGTGACGAAGCGAGCAATGTCGGCACGCGCAGCTCGCCCTATTCCGCACTCGGATTATTATTTTTGCACGTCGAAGGGTACGAAGGAACCTTCGACTTGGACGTGAATCCACGAGATTTATTGCAGATACAGCTGCGAGTAGCAAATTATTTCTGCCGCGAGTAAATCAAGTCGAATGTTGCATCGGAGGTATATACATGGACTCCTATAATCCTATAAACGCAGCACGTTCTTTTATTGTTTCGCGTCGTAAATTTGCAACGTTTACGACACAATTTGTGCGATATTACTCGACAATAATCAAACTACTATTCTTGTAATAAAATAAGGAAAGAAGGACATTTTATTGTTTTAACAATTTTTTTTATAGATGAAATCGGTTAAAGAACTTTTTTGGTAATTTGTGAAACACTATTTGATTTTTAATAGAAAAATTCAACTTTTAGAATCCCTAAATCCTAAAGTAAATTATTGATTCATGACTCTTTGTTAGTAAGCGGATTGACTACATCATTTATATTAAGTACTTCCAGCGCTGATCCCCACTATTAAATCGCAAATATGTAATCGCGCCCTAAGATAATAACGTGATAGCGTCAGAACAAACATTAATGCTTTTTTGTGAAAAGTTTTGACGAACTCTCTCTCTCTCTCTCTCTCTCTCTCTCTCTCTCTCTCTCTCTCTCCTTCAACAACGACTTGCACCTTTTGACACGTTAGCGTGGTCTCGCCGTACTTTGAACTTTTTCAGGAAGGATTTCCATAATTCGCCAGCGCGGACGTATAAAGTTGACCGTCCGACCGCTTAAAACCTCGACGAAGAAAGTTATCCAAGCAACGAGCGAAGACGCGTCGCGCATATATTAGACGGGGACTGTTTGCGACGCTGCGCGCTTTCCGCTAAGTTATACCTTATTCTTATGAATTTCTTGGCAAAGAAAATGTGTGCACGTTTGTTTGTGTGCATTTCTTTCTGTGTATGTTACACGTGTATGTAATATCGGATACTCTTTCCATCAAGACTAAGGCGACATTGAGCCGTTCTTTTGTTACATTGTACATCATATAAAAGCTGTGAAACTTTTTAAGAGATGCATATTTTACGTTTCGCGTAATATGCGAGTGAGTATATGCGCATTTTAACTGTACGTACTTAGAGTGTATATCCAAAAATTGTTTTTTATTTCAAATACGTGTTTGTTAAAGTAATTCTCTATTCTATATAATATCTAGGAAAATCTATTTCTCTCTAAAGTGAATAGAAATGATAGAATAAAATCGCGTAAATGTAATCGCAAAATGTAAATATAAATACGATTTTGGAATTATTTTTTAAAATTTTATTACTGTTTTTTGTAAAATCAAAAAACAGTTCAAAGAACATAAGCTCGTTTTATATAAAATTTAATTTGAGAATCGATTTCAAGTGGAGAGAGTTTGTATCATTCGGAAAGTCTAATATAAAATTCATATAAAACACATTTGTTCTTATAAACAAAAAATATACGTATATAATAAAATATATTTAACATGAATTAATTTTTTACATTCTTTTATACGTATATTTTATACGTATATTCCGCATTCTTTAATAATACCGATTAATGCAATGACTTTTTATCTTTTTAAGAATTGCTCATAGATTTATACATGTATGTATATTCAGTAAAATTGATCGTTAGTTTAAACGACGCCATTTGCAAAGCAAAACTTACGATAATAGAATTTATAATAACATTTATTAAAATTTATTTAAAATGTAAAAAAATAACAAATTCGTATATGTATTTTATGTGCAATGAAATAATAATATCTCTCGCGAAACGTAATGCTCGAACAAATAAATAGTGTCGCCATTCGTTCTGTGTGTCGTGTCGTTATTCCTTTTCGAAATGCGACCGCGATCATATTTTATGAATTAGCCATTATCGGTTTGCCTAATTAATTTCCGCGATTAATATTTTGTACTGAGGCATGCATCGACTATTTATCGAAACGAATACTTCACACGTTTTATTTCTTTAAAATAAAAGTCAAAATTATGAATAGATATTGGAGTTAGAGATCGTCTTTTTATTGAAAATTCCAATAATTATTCTCTTAACAATGTTCGCATTAAATATCTTTCATATTATATTTCTTGTTAAATCAGGCGTATCTTCATCTGAATTAAGAGCACAAAGTGTAATAATCATTAATGAGCGAATAGCTCATGTCTATAATGGCAAAAGCTGATATACGTTGATTATATTGATAATACATCTTGATAATACAGTTTACATTTATAGTATAAAATATATCACACGAGCTGAAAATAAGTAAAAAGCGACATATTT